TGTATGTCACAAACTGAAACTATCTTTCAAGTATACATTATCAAAAACTGTTTGCGGCCCTTTTTACAATTTTCAAAATGCAATGCGGCTCTCGAAAACCCATGTGTTTGACACCACTAATCTACTCTACACGATTCAAGCATTGCTTTGGGAAATAATATCACTTTAAATAAATTGAAAAAAATCTCGCTATATTAAATACAAAATCGTTGCTATCATAAAGGTAAACCAATTCAGCCACTCGAAATATATTGGCCCTCACAAAGCAATGGGGGCAAAATTGGGAGTTTATGAGCTATGAACTTTTGTTCTTTTCTTTGTCTTGAACTTTCCATACTCCACAGCCCCTATTATTATTTTTTTAATTTTAATTACCATGTGATGGTCATATACATCTTTAACTTGTATTTTCTGTCATGGTGTATTATCTCAATGTGTCAAACTTTTAATTAATGTGCATATTTTGCTTCCAGATGACATAAATGTATTGTCTTGTTTATTACCTCATCTTCGAGTATTGACAAGGAAAAGGTGCCAGTAAATTACGTAAAAATTTTTTTAACTCTTTGTTATAATCAGAATTCACAATTAATAGAAATTATAAACAGCCAACAATCAATGAGAATTATATGCGAAATCCCTCAGAATAAATTTTCTCCTAAAATCGGAGTAAGGCAAAACATATAGGTAGTTCCCATTCACACAAGTCTTTCAAGAGGACTTGCTCGAGCCAAACTAAATGAGCATTGTCAGGTGATCGGTAAGGCTGAAAGTTGAATTTAGCCCTGCAACCTCCTGCATCGAAGATAATATTAATTAGTGAGCTATGAGCTAAATTTAGACACAAACCTATCTACGGGGCATTATGTACCAGAAATGTTACCTACGATTAGCTGAATATGTAATATGTCTAAGAAATTCACCTACTAAAACAAGCAGTTCGATAGGTGCAAACATTGTGTTATGGAATTGTATCACAGCACCGTAAAAAGAAGTAAAAACAGTTTTGCTGTTTTGTATGCTCTTTAAATGAAATTTCAATGTTCAAGCGCAAACATTAAAATTATTAACTTTGAACTTTGTCATTATCTGCAAAATGTTCCAAACATATCTTTACGCTATCGCGTTTGTAATCTTCTCTGATAAAAAAAAACGTCTATGATGTGCAGAATTACTCTTCGCAGCTTGTCTGCAATTCCAGCTTTCCAAGTGAGCAAAACTTCTTAGATATAAGGATTATTTTCTTTTGTTACAGGCGCAAAAAGGCAGGTACTACACGTAAAGAAAACGCCGAGTAGCAAAAGCGAGCGGAAAACGGTCGCGAAAGGCGACGAGAAATATGTGCATTGGAGCGTATCATGAAATACAATCTTTTGCCTGTAGCCTTATGGAGTGACGTCAGAGTTGCCTATCATGTTGTTTAATGTCATTGGTCAAACGAAAGATAAGCCAAGTCAACCACAATCAAGTCAGTCAAAGCGAAGAGTGAGAAGGATGGCACATACTTGGAAATAGGATTTACAAGGAATGAAGAAGAAAAAGATCCGCGTCCGCGATGTGTTGTTTGTTATGAACAACTTGCAAACGAGAGCATGCGTCCAAACAAACTGCGTCGCCATCTTGAGACTAAGCATACCGAATGGGTCGCCATAAGCTGTGGTAATGAATAGTGGGTCCCAACTCTGAAAAGTTTGGCAACCACTGATCTAGAGTGCATAGTAAGGAGCCTGAAGCGGAAGTAATATTAGGTCTACCGTTCAAACAAAGGAATCACAGGTTTGACCAATTACGGAAGAATGAAATGTATAAATACAATCTAAAATTGTTGAAAGAAGGCTGCCGCACTCAAGCGTTCGTTACGTGGAACTTTCATATGCATGCAAGGACCGCGTAAGTCCCAAAGTGGTGAAATTTTGTGCGTTAAGTTACCGCGGCCCATCTTATCTGCAGACGATACGGACGATTTGTTATTTACAGACCGAGGTTCAATAATGATTGTGCCGAACGGATAATATGAAAAAAAAAATAGGCAGAAGTCTTTTTGAGCGACATGAACGAAAACAGATAAAAAGACGTAGGTACGGAAATCCGTTATGTTATGAATGAGAACTATAGCCACATTGTTTATGGGACTCCGTAGATGTTTAAAGAGTAAATTTGGCAATGATGTTGAAACAGAATCAATGCTTTACAGCAAATAAAATGTTAATGTTAGAAGAAGAAATAAACAATGTGACAACTTTAAAAGAAGGCGGAATAAAAGCTAGGTCGCTAATTTTTATCGGAAATCTTATGAAAAGTGCTGTCAAAATAATGAAAGGAACATATCTTATAGATTGGAAGATAATATGAACGAGGAAACTATCGATAAATTTGCAGCCGTTGTGAATCTGCGCTGGACTAGTTTATTCGGCGATGCTAAATATATCCTGCAGCATAATCACCAGATAAAGTTGCGACAACCAGAACTGCTTCCTAATGAGCAGAATGTACTTTAGCATCCCACTTGAGTGATAAATATTTATACCATGTCAGGAAAATTTTATTGTTATTCGTAATATTGTGATGTCACGCCTCACGCTTTTTAATGCAAAGAGAGGTGGTGAGCCCAATCGTGTTCTTATGAAAAACTGAGGAAATGCTAAAAATAATAACCCAAAGATTTCAATTCTGGTCATCATCTGTCGACCAAGAGTTGGTGAAAGAATTCAAAGTAATGTACCAGGGTAGTAAAGAAAACAATCACCTTGTGCCTGTTCTTGTTCTCATCAACTGTGTCTTGACCTTCTAGTAAACCCAGATAATCGCAAAAACAGTGCGTGTTTTTCAACCTCATTCTATCAGTCGCTTTGGTTTTCTAGTCTGAGAAAGCTCATTTATACAATCTGACTTTAGTTACTGTTGTCGTGAGCTTTCATGTATTTATTTTATGGAATTTTTGTGAGTAATCGTTTTTCTGTTTGTTCAGAACGACTGGATTCTGTGACATGATCAGATTCGACAGAAAAGGAAGTAGCAAATACAGATTATTTCGCAAGCTGAATCCCGTATATGCAAATCCTATAAAATTAGATAACCTTTTTATAGTTCAACAGTATGTAAAATGGCAGCCTCAAGAAAGTGAGTTATTGAAAAATAAAAGATGTTATCGAGGTCACTTCTCAAGAGGGGAACAAAGGGAATCTGAAGTATGTATTTCAATTTTGTCAGCAAGTAATCTACCGAATAGTGCAGTTGGCAGCAATGAAATGTGTCAGATTTAGCCTAGCTATTTCTTTGCCAAGCTTACATACTTTATACAATTTTCAAGTGGATTTGTCAAGATGGTAATACACTTTATTTTTTAAATCAGATTTGGGTCAGATAAAGTTGTTCCTGGAAGATAATCACATATTGGAGTCCATCACTGATATAAACCAGGGAGTCGGGATAGTTCACACAAAATTGTTCCTACAAGTTGTAAAAACTGTTTTGATTGACCGCAAATTGCTTGTTGTCTATGGCTATGGCCATTTATTAGCAGTCTACACTAATCAACTCGAAGAAATATCGTACCGGTACCTCGGATTATCTGATGTGTTAGTTTTCAAATATAAAGACAGTCAGCCATTGTTCTAGTCACCTGGTGACTGGTTCAACTTGAAAATAGTTTTGGGCTTATTTAGTGCGAAATTGGATAGGATTTACCTATTTACCTACCTATTACCTATGAAAAGGACTCCTTTACACCGTACCTATGCCAGCTTGCGATACCCTGCCAGTAGCTGGTTTAGTTACAATCGCGAAAAAGCACGCTGTGCCACTACCCTGAACTTTTTTTAAGTCAATACCGGCAATTAAATAATGATCACAAATAATAGATTGAAACGAAAGCTACAAAAAGTAAAGAAGGAAGCCATAATTCTGTAATTAATAGCGTGTGGCGTATCGCCATGTGAGCCACAGTTGCGCACCTGCTCCACATAGTGGATTGGAATATGAGATGGAAAGGGAGCTATATAGACAAGAGAGCTATGCTCAAATATATGGACACGTAGAGTCACATAATTTTGATGACGTCATAGCGAAAAAAAAAAGTAATAGCCTTCTGGAAAATTTTTTTATCTTTAACCACTGAAAATTTCAAAGCAATTGGTCCAGTATTCGAAGAGAAAAGCGACTTTTAAAAAACGTGTTAAAGAACAACAACATAATATTGAAACGATCGTTATGTCCACTACGTGTCCAATAATATTGAATAGGCTGTAGTGTAGATGTAACTGTTATGATAATATTGTTTTGTGTGGGTAGAGCAAGACTGCAAAGCCAATTAAATTTGTCAGAGCTTTCGACTCGTTAGGTTCCCCGTTGTTTTGCCACGTTGTTCTTGCGCATTTCAGGCTATGGTAAATTGTTTCAGTCAAACCTGAAATTTACAAAAATAGTTTTGAGCTAATTTAACGTGAAATTATTGTGAAGAGTACGCCGTCGTATCGCGGGCTCCAAGCGTTGGAAATACGCTCGCCCCCGCAGCTCTGATTATTCTGTTTGGGTTCGCTACCGTTCTGGTTAGTCTTCTGTAATAGAAAAAATTCTGCGGCCCTTTTTTTGCATTAGAACCCTAGTTCTGTATCACATAACTTGGTACGAATTTGGGTACAAACCTCAAACAATTATACAGCCAAACCTAAATATATATAACCTGTAGAAAACCAGACAACCTTACAACATCTATTCCCTTTTACACCATACACTAACCTGCTCTGAAAATATTACTGATACCGGTACCATACTCGCTCCCATACCATTCGCTGGTTTAGTTACAATCGCAAGAAAACAACATGGGATTTACATATTTATCCCGGGGGAGAGGAAAACCGATAAGACAGCTTAACCGTATGGCGAACCACGGCCTCTCGTCTGATTGCCATTCCATGTCGGGTATGGGATTAGTTAGTTATTCGTTTTCGGAAGCATGGACTTGATAGTGGAGGAAGCCGTAACCGACCAGCGGTTACGTGATTCACCCTACGGCGGCAAGGAGTCCAGGAATCCTCTCAAACAAAACTATCCCCGCATGCGATTCGAACCTGCGAACCCACACAGAGTATTTTGGATAAAACATACTTTCGCCTCCAATGCCGTATCTCCATGCTTAGATTTCTGTTATCTACGACGTGCTATAGTCAGTCGGCGTATTTCCGGCCTTGCGGCTCTGTTATCTTCTTGTTAAAGTTGGATAAGATATCTCCAATCTTATGACTCTATTATCTTGTGTTTGTTGAAGAGAAAGGCGTTTTCATCTTGAACGCATAAATGCACGAGGTGAGAACCGTAGTGCAGTAGTTGTTCATAGAAAACATGCAACACTAGTTGAACGCGAGTTACGGTAAAGCTAATGAAAAGAGAGGGATAGATTTTGTTATTGTCAAAAAAGCACATTTATTCATATATCTTCATAGAATTAACGGCAATGCAGGAGGCAATGAACAATGGTGAGAAATGCGATGCATTTAAAGACTTTGCGATCAGGGCTATAGAAACGGAGAATTTACTATCCACAACGACTCCGCTGTTTATTTTGGCTTCAGACACCGTACAGTGAAAGATTTGGACTACCTCAAAACTGCAATAAAACTAAATCTGATATGAGAAAAAAAAACGGTGGCATATGTAAGCCATCTTTGATAACTTTATATACCGTATCAAAATATCTAAGTCCTTTAAAATATCATTTGTAAAATATGCAGATATGGTATATCAATCAAAATGGTGTACTCCCGTGGTATATAGTAGGGTTTTAGTAGTCAAATTTGAGAAGGGATTCTCGAATACAAAGAATTCCTGCTGCAAATCCTCGAGTTTTCAGATATTAAGCATCCACGAAATCCTATATTTCAGAGATATGTCACATGCGAGCTTTTTTGTGCAACACTGATTGCGTCGCAGTCAGATAATTGCGATTTCATATATGAAGTTCATCAATAATAACAGTACTGTACTCCGATAATCAAAAATGTTACATCTTGAATCTCGGATGTGGCTGCTTGATAACCAGTGTTGGTTCCCCGGCTTCCCTTGTCCAGTGAAATGTGTATTCAATAATATTCTTTTACAATTTGCATGTTATTTTATAATGGGCGAAAAAAAATAAACTTGTCAATGACCAATCTCGCTTGAATTTTTTCCATTGATCTTGCATCAGCTTAGATTACGGTGGTGTTCAAGGTTCGACCTTGGCATAACATAAATGGAATAACAAAATTAGGAACATTTTATTCCATCGGATATTTAGGCGAGTTGGCGAAACTGATTTACATATTCAAATTAACAATTTGCCCCAAAATGTTCAAGCACCTGCCGATTAAAAGTACTGCATGCTAAGCTAATTCTAGTGTTTGGTTTTCTAAATTTGTGCTTTTTATTCGGACAGTTCGATGACTGAAAATATAATATTTAATATCTGATTATAAATCTGCAGATAACAGAAATGTAATCTCGACCTACCTCGCTAATGTCTTACCCTGTTATCTGCGCTTATACTGATATTACTAGTCCACTTCGCGGATTTCAACGGGGGAAGTCGCGAGAAGTCAAAGCTGGTTATAGAGCAGCGACACCCAATGATCTAATATCTGATTAAAATAGTTTAGAGAGTCTTCTAATCTAGAAGAAAATATTGATTAATTTACAACAGACTTAATATTTTATCATTATTTTTTTCACTTATTGTCAGAGCTACCATCCCAAATAATATGATAAGAGTTTATACAGTTGTATATATATAAGCGCCTCCTGACGAAGCTGTTCAGATTATAACCATACAAATCGCTTTTTACTAGTTTTGTATATGAAGTGGTTTATATGTTCAGCAGTATCTAAATCGACGGGGTCATTTTCATGGATATGAGCGGAACATACTCTGCAACAACAAGTAATGTTAAAGAGCCACCAGGAATGAATAAATTCAAAAGACCATACTCGTGTGAGATATGTGGCAAGTGTTTTATGCGGCCCAATCATCTGCGTAGACACGTACGAATTCATACAGGAGACAAACCATATTTCTGTAAAATATGTGCAAAGCGCTTCACACGCTCAAGTGCTGTGAAAATTCATATGAGAACTCATACTGGAGAAAAGCCATACTCTTGTGAGACATGTGGCAAATGTTTCGCTCAAGCTAGTTATTTAGATGTCCATGTGCGTATTCATACAGGAGAAAAGCCACATTTTTGCACAGTTTGTGGAAAATGCTTCACGTCTCAGGCGACTTTGTTTACACATATGCGTATTCATACCGGTGATAAACCGCACTCTTGTGAAAAATGCGGAAAAAGCTTTGCACAATCAAGTTGTTTAACAAGCCATTTGCGTATTCATACTGGAGAGAGGCCGTATTCATGTAAAATATGTGACAGAGGCTTTACACAATCAAGTTCTTTAAATAACCATATCAGAACGCATACTGGGGAAAAGCCATATTCTTGTGAGAAATGTGGAAAATGTTTCACGCAATCCGGCAATTTGAAGTGTCATATGAGAACTCATAATGAAGAGAGGCCACATTCTTGCAAAATATGTGGAAAAAATTTTGCTCAATCCTCTACATTGTCGAAGCATTTTAAAATACATGGTAGAAAAACGACTTAGGGATGCAGAATTGTCAATTTTAATCTAGTACTCTAAAATGGAGTATACCAACCCATGCTTGTGGACACTTTCATTTTGGAAACAAACTGTGGATATTTGAAACTGGACCATTGACAGTGTGTTATGTCAGAATAAAGTCAGAAGTTAATATATATTGATTGAGTGTTTATTTTAATCGCAATAGATAAAAAATTCTTTCCAGATAACAACAGATTTTAGGTTATTTCCTATCATCTTAAGTATTAATAGAATATATACTTTGTTTCAAATATTTTGTGTTATATTACATTTGATTTAGTTCTTTAATTATGTCATTGGAATTAGATCTCCTGTCTGTTTTATAATATTAAAATCTTGTTTCCTTCGTTGTCAAATAAACTGATTGATGATTTGTTTTTCTTTTGTTTGAATTTTATTATTTGCGATTAAATTGAAATTTTATCGCTCGTTAGCATTTTGATTTTTTTTTAAATATTTAAATTCTCAAACTTTTTGCTTGTCAGTTTTGATTTTGTTGTTAAAATGCCAGATCATATGTCATTTGTTGTGTTGCTCATTTTATTTTTATGGCACATTTATTTACCTCGATACAAACAACCGTTATGTCCGGGGACACATATATCCAAATGCTCTCATAACTAGACATGGGTTACCTGGAATGCATTCCTATTGGATAAATCCATACAACCTTCGTGAGATATTGGCTGTCTTATTAATGACTTTGCTAGTATATAGAATTTCGTTCCTATTTTGCGTGAAAATCAAATAAGCATAAAAATTCTTCTTTCAAGCAGCACATATCTGCTAAACCGAAACACATCCATTAGAATCATATTAATCATCCGGTGCATTCTATTCCCCAATCAAGTAGGGTGACGAAATCAAAATAATTTGAACAATTGTTTAATATTGACCAAATAGCTAATGTGAGTGAAATACGTAAACGAGGGAAACCAACAATCGCTATTTGTCGAGTGCGACGGTCTTCCGTATTTCACCATGCAAGCCGCTATGGACAATGCATGGCGATTCCCTTTTTGCAAACAGGCGATATACAGGAGAGGAGCATTTACCCAACAGGAAATTTACCAAACAAGAAACGACTCCGTGCACCAATAATCTAAGTAGCCATGACGATAGCTGCTTTGAGGTAAAGTCACACTGGTACCATTGTGAGGTGACTGTGGTCGTAGGTAGAACATTGTATGGTGCAGGGCTACAGTTGTTTAGCTATCAATGGTAAAAATGAGGTTTGACGAACAGGAAGCCTACCAGTAGTATGGTATGCATGCAACTGTAGTACCGGTAGTCATAAATAAGTTAACCTTTTATGGTAAGAAGAAAATTAAACTGCAGTGTGTACCTGAAAGGCACATGATCAATGATTCAGGTATTCTACACGATCAAGGTAGGATTAAATTTCATGTGGAACTAACCACTTCATACAGAACATGGAAAAAGCAAAGGTAGGTAGATTGATAAAAATCTAATGTCAGTCAATTTATGACATAACGATGCCAAATGTACAAAGATAAAAAAAAAAATTTACAATCGAATATGGTTTAACATTAAATGATAGTGATGACATAGTCCGGTCGAATCGGGCCTTAACATTGTTTTGGGACATAAAGTTTTTTTTATTGTTTAGACATAATGTCGATAACATAAATAATGATACCCAGGTGGGTGTGGAATATATAATGTTGAGCAATTTTTTTTAAGTGGATTTTAAGTATTCGTACAAAGATGACGCACATCCTGAGGCGTAATACAAGCCAAGATCCATCGACAGCATCTAGACCAGTGGTTCTTAATCTTTGTGAGCCTGCCGAACCCCTGCGCTATTCTGCAAGCTCCCGCCGAACCCCATTGTACTGAACGGTTGAAATTAGAAGCCAAACCGTAACGTCATAAAGCGGAAGCTAATTCTTGCAAGGTTATAGAATATGAACATTGTGATGAAACCTTAGATATCAATAACCATGTGGGAATAACCATTGTTTTGTCACAATGACGTTGGCGGCAGAATGAGCAGATGGTTTTTGTTGTATAAGTTATGCGGGTGAACAGGCGAAAACTGATAAAAAATAACTTTGAAAATCCGAAAGATGATAATATACCCCATAAACGTTGGTAGTTCAAGCAATTTGTTCTCAAACTTTAAACTGCGCTGAAATGCGAATAAAATCGTTTGCAAATTGTTTTATTTTACAGAAATAGAGATAGGATTAATTCGGCGCCATATCGAGGTTGTCCTGAATGGATCATAATAATTTCGGGTAAAGCTCTGCGATGAACTATTCCTTGTCGCAAATTTATCACCTAGTGAAATTCAAACACGCTATGATTTTGCATTCATTCATGTACAATTACTGCCTATCTTCGATTTATCCGTAAAATTGAGTTAAATTTTATTAGTACGGTAGAATATGAATAAGGGTAACACCAATTAATTGTTCCATTCAATTGTTCAAGTCATTAGTAATTAGTCATCATGAACTATAGTTATTTTTGCATAATTAGTATGAAGGGTGATAAAAAAGTCTCATAATATGCAACTGTTTCAGAGCACCTTCGTCGAACCCCTGGAACAGCTCCACCGAACCCAGTTTAAGAACCACTGATCTAGACACTTTTTTTTGCGCTCTTCAAACTACATTTGCTTTGCCGCGGGCATTTCGTTTTCCTACTTCAAGCTTAGGGACTTGGGAAATATTTTATTAGCTAGAATTGGATTGGAATATTTGACCTCGTCTTCCACTCCGAACAAGGCCACGTAAAACCATCGACTGGTATCTAACGATGTGTAACGTGTTTTCTTTTGAAGGAAACGGAACCTTTCAGGTGCAGCATTGACTTTGGCAAAATTAATATATCCTTGTGGAGATAGAAGGTATGCGTATGCGAAACCGAGATGTGCACCTGTTATGCCAACATAGTTGAGTCAAACATTTTGAACACTAGGACATCACACACATTTTCCTGCGTGCTTCCGTTGTAAGTAGTAACGCGCACATGCATCAAATTCCACTTGTTTATTAGGCTATAGGTTTTTGACGAGCTTTTGTGTATGATTTCATTCCATAGAATTTGTATGCTGCTGACTGCTCTAAAGAATACTAGTTTCAGGTTTTTCATTCATTCAAACCGTGTTTTGAAAATAAGTTTTGTAATATTGCGTGTTAGTTTCCAACATCCTTAAATCGGGGATGCCAGTAAATCTTTAATACAAAAAGACCAGTATCATCTGCAATAAAACAGCAGTACCCACTCAAATGACTGCTGGATACTCTGAGTATCTGCTCCATCGCGTGCCTCTTACCAGTTTACATGAGTGCCAATTGGTATCTAAGCTCAGCCAGAGACAAAAAGTTTCGGACTGCGGTTGGTGTGACGAAATGTTTTTAAATATATATTCTACAATAAGATTATTTGATTGCATACTACTGAAAGTTACGCCTTATATGTCTTTTCCCATTGCGCTATTCCTTTACTGATATTCGATAATATGACGCTCATCTGACATAGTTCTTCAAGTGTGTAGATAGGTATAATCTATTCCATGCTGTTCAGATGGGAATGCGCGAATATATGTAAGAATCGCTAATATTTGTTTGCAATGCGATGAAATCCCATATTGGCATTTCTGCCTCTCGCAATTGCTGTATACTTATCGAAGAAGTTCTGTGGCGTAGTTATCGAGTGAAAATAAATCAGTCATACATAATTTATTAGTCATCACAATATAAGCACTTCAAGAAAAATATGACATACATGTAACCAACAACAAATAATACCTTAATTGTTTGACAGGAGTCGCGAGGGACCTCGAAAGGATTCAAGCAGCGACACCTACAACGCTGATTCAGATTAGCGAATAAATTTTATGTAATAAGGATGCTACTAATTAATAATAATTATAATTGTTTTCGAAATATAAGAAAACGAAGCACCAACACAGTTTGATAATATACGTATATAACAATTTTGGAAAACCAGAAAAAAAAACATGGGAGTATTTTTTCTACTTCTCTAATACTATCAAACCTTGACATTTTGTGAAAACTTTTTTCCATTCAACCTTTTTTTGAAACATCCCCAACAACCACAATTAATTCTGTTATTAAACTTCCGAAACAAACACATAAAATCATCAACAGATGCATATCTCCGAGTAGATATTGCTGAATTGGTCTTGGTCTTTATTTTACCATTTTTCGGGTAATTCTTTATGGTAAACCCTTTTATCCATAGTAAATACAGCACATTTGACAATGTTGTAGTGTAACTTTTTGACCTCACATTTTTGATATTTGTAGTTGGAGTTCCTGGGGCTCTGTCAAACAAAGTTAAGTACAATATGTTGGTTGTAAATTGCAAAACATGATCATGTTGTTGGAATAACTAGGCATTTTAGCACCCGTATATCATTCATTGTCGAGAATATTAATGAAATCTAAAAATCTGTTTTCGTGAATTTTTTGTTGTAGCTGAATTCGAGGGACAGCATGACAACAGGCAAGCGAAGCACGGTCGCCTCTTTTAGTTTATGACAGGGGACCCCGGCCTCCTTGGACGCCGCTGATCGGTTATCTGGGAGCACGAACAAACAGATGGAAATTCCAATATATATTTACAATCAATTTTTATACAAGAGAAGAAGCAAAAGTGTTGATTGGGAGTCTTTGGTAGTTTGAAAAGCATTGGCATGGAACAAAAGAATGAACTACATTCTTTCCCAGGGATAAACTACAAAATGTGGCAATTTTCCCATTCTTGTTCTGGTGATAGCATTATCTTTCACTGCATCGTCATAATCATCCGGCTGCATAACAATTCTTGCTAACAAATAATTGACTGTTCTCCACCGGGTGTATATCCACTTGAACCACCGGCGACTGCATTAGCAGGCTTGTATTATTTATTGCAACAAAAGCGGATATTTTGAAATAGTACTCTTTATCTTACGCGTATGTTTCAACAGTTTTCCCATATATATGGATTGCGACCCAAAGCTGGGCTCAACAAATACCTCAAATCAATTATTTCTTTCACCTGCAACAACAAACTGAAATGGTGAAATCAATATCTTTATATCTAACTTGCACTGGTGTGATCTGTAAGTAAAATCCCATTATAACCAAGTATGCTAAAAATTAATCTTCAATAAACATATCATATTTTCTCAGTATGAATATTCACAAAGAGAATGGATTCATATTATCAAAAGTTCAAAATATAAGACTGTTTATCATTTATTCCGCTAGCATATTGCGGATTTGTAATAACGGCAAAATGCGAACTGACGATGGAGTGGGATTTAGCCGGTTCGCACCGGTTCCATAAAACCGTCTCATGGAATTTTATGAGATCAGCGAACCGGTTAGCATTACTAAAAAAACATGACTTTTTGTAACAGAACCGGCTGAAAAATATGACATTTGTGTGATGGAACCGGCTGACAAAAAATTTGAATCTCACCACTGAAGTTACTCTGCTGGAGCAAAACGTACAAACCCCGCTTTACCATATTCTGTGAAATTTACAACAAGCGATACTTAGGTATGGCATTAACCTTAATAGACTCACTTTTTTAATTTGCAATAGTGTTTTGGTCGAAGCGTACCGGTTCCATACGGTATTATAACAGCGCGAATGTGATTTTAACTGACACTAACAGAACAATACCGGTACTCATTGACGTTGAAGTGAGTAGCCAAATAAAATTTGTTATTAAACCAGGCCAAGTACTCATTGAATTTTGCATTTAACTTATACCGGTACTGTGAAATGCTTATGACACTCTTGTACCGGTACTGTTTGTTTATTTTCTGTCTGGTTTCCGTCTAGTAACGCTTGGTCTCCAACAACCCTCTTTCACTCAAAGCAAACAAGCTTTCCAGTCACCCAAGCTCTTT